AGACTGATGCTTTGTATTTTGACGTTTTGGAATGCACCCCTATTTTCTCGGATAACCAGGCAGCAATCAAGGCACTTGGCTCTGTAAGCATCCCATTCAGTAGAATAAAACAGTGCAGAGAGAACATTATGGCCTTAGATGATAGGCATGTCATTGCACTGATCTGGGTGTCGGAGCACAGCAGAATTCATGTCAATGAGATGGCCGACGAACTAGCCAGGAACGGGTTAGCTCTGCATGTCTCAGAGGCACACGAGGTTCTTGTTCCTCAAAAGCTGCATCTCTCAGCACTGGAAAAAGGTGGCTAATACACAGTAGGTGGAAAGGCCTAGAACCTTGTAGGGTCTGCAGGAGCCTGTGGCCCACCTACTATGCAAAACGCACTGGATTTCTCATCAAAACAAACAGGAGGGATTTATCTCGACTAACAGCCGTTTACACAGGGCACTGGGCCGTGGGAATCCATGCTGCATGACTAGGACTGGAACACAGCACTTCTTGTCGTAGCTGTTATTCACCGTATGCAGAAAAAACGATGGAGCATCTGCTCCGTAACTGCCCAGCAATATGCTTTCCAAGTACACATTTTTCCCATAAACATATTTTCAATGCTTTAATCAAAAAATTATTAAAAAATCAACGCGATTTTTAGCCAATGGAAATTTGTCCTTTTGTACTAAAATTTTATGGGCTATAAAACTGCGTACCCAGTTTAAAAGAGTCGAAGTTTTTATGAAGATCTGTTGAATTTTTCTAAATGTTGTTTCAAACTTCGACTATTGAATATTTTTGTAATATATTGGGTCTTATGAATAAAAAATAAGCAATTGTTTTTTTTTTTTTAATTTCAGCCTTTTACTCGATTTGTTCAAAGAAATTTAAGTAAAATGTATGAAATTTTAAGAAAAAGCAACTGCTTATTTTTTACTCGTAAGGCCAAACAACAAAAAATTGTTAAATTGAAAAAAAATTTCTAATTAAAATGCGGAAATTTATTCTAGTCACTGTATATCGGCAATGGTTTCTATACATTTTTCTATTAAAATATACCGAGTCCTAACCGCCAAAATAACGTAAGCGAAATTTTTTTAAAAATTTTCCTTTTGATGCAGAAATGCACCTAGATGCTCTAGGAATATTTCTGCATCAAATATAAAATTAAAAAAAAAATGTCGTTTACGTTATTTTGGCGGTAAGGGCTCGATACATACATGTACCTGCATAAATTTGATACATACCGAATGACATAACTCGATGGTATTATCGAAAAAAATATCGATAGAAATGACTACAAAAACAACGATAAAATATTTCAAAAACGAAGCGTGTAAACACAGTTGATTCTCTTTCTACATGTCGTTTTCCAGATCCCATTACAAGCAACAGCGGTGAAACACCTGCTAACCACTTCTACCATTTTTTTTCAAATTATTGTTGCTTTTCCACAATAAATTTTTCATTAAAAACGGCCTCAAGCTCAATAAAAATTATTGAATATAGATATCCGACTTTAAAACCATTAAAAACGAGATTACTTTTTACCCAAGCCAATATTTATCAAAGCTGACAAAATAAAGCACTTTAAGGCACAAACTCGTTGAAAAAGCAAGCATTAGATTTTCATAAAGCAGAAAATTTGACCATTAAATTCTTTGTCTTAAATCCATGTCACAATGATGTGCCAAAAATCGAATTTTTTCTTCCAGTCATTATATGTAGGTATGTTTTGCTTTATGAATATATCTTCCGGCCAGATCTTTGGAATTTCATTTGCAAGCGTGTTAACAAATTTGTCAACCTTCCAACACGCATTGTCTTAAGTCTCATCTGCATTTGCATACACGAAGAGTATTCATACATTTACATACATTAGGGTGTGTCACCAAAAAAAGATGCTCTTTTTCGAATGGAATTATAAAATTGTTAACATTTTAAGACTTTTGCCAAAATATTTCGAGATAAATATTATGATTTATGTGAGTTAGACCGATTTGAAAATTGCTCGAAAAATATCATTATTTTGATACCGTTGTTAGAATTTCAAAAAAAATGCAAACCTTTTAAGCTTTAACTTTTCTATTATCCGAGGTAATTTTTTGGAAAAACAAAATATTTTTCCAAACTAATGTTATTTATAATAAACTCGCTTATTGGAAGCAATTTCAATTAATTCCAGCTCACGTAACTCTTAATTTTTTTCCGAAATATGTTGGTGAAAGTCTTAAAATTCGTTATATTTCCAATGGAAAAACACTACTAATTTTTTGTATGGAGAGTGTTGCACCCTAATATACATACATATGTATACTTAACAGGTAGGTAAAAAAAATACGTATATTTTAGTTTTGACCTGACTATTATTTCTGCTGTGCATACATACATATGTAGATACATTTAAACAGAGGCGCACATTTTTTCGCTTAAATAAAACATAAAAAGTTTAGATTTGCATACGCAGAATTAGTAAACTGTGCCAACAGAAAAAATTTTTTTTTTTTTTCATCATTTTTAGTGATTCACAACAAATATTTGCTTTGTATTGGAGTTCATACCTTCAATGAAATTTGTTAAAACTAAGCAGAAAATCACTAAAACGAAAAATTGTTTCATTTTTTTTTCACTTTTTTATTTACACTGGAACCATAGAATATTTAATTTCCTTTTTTCTGGTAAACCGCAAACAAAATTTGTTTTTCTTTTATCAAACACTTCAAAATGGCACATCCATTTAATAGAAACTTGTTATTTATTTTATTAGTATCCAAAATACTAGCACCGAAAATTCATAAATAGTATAGAAGACAGAGAAAGCATTTACTCTTTAAATCGTATTTATTTTTTTAATTCACAATTACTACGCGCCCGTGCTAATCCATTTTCTTTACGCGACCGCATCGAATTCGAAACTGTTACCAAAAATAACAATCAAAGCCGTGTACAGCGTTCGATCAGCGTTCTATTACGATTACCTTGAGAGGCTGTGCCATCATTTTTCTATTCGTGTTTCAAACAAAAAAAACACAAAATCTTAGCCGGTTTTTAGACTGTATGCTGAGTATGTGCATATGTAATTAGCCAGAGATATGGCGCTGCGGGTGTTTCCCGAAAGCAACTTACTTACGAAGTTATGCATTGTCATACTAAATACTTTAGGCAGTGTGACTCTCTCTCTTCCGTTATGATTAATAAATGGTTGACATTCAATAAATGGTTGACTTCAACAGAATTCAGCTAGAGCGGAGGTCTCGTTTTTAAATAATTCAATAGACTAGTCTACATTTCTTGGTATTTTGCATATACGTCTCGTACGCAGAATATTTATGAGTGTATTATAATTATGGGCTGCTCAAGCGTCAAGTGGTAAGCGCAAAATGCTGAATTTCTCGTTGTTTTCTATTAAGACATTTTTTTGGAAAGCAATTATTTTAAAATATAACTACAATAGTGAAAGGACTGTCTGGCATTTACGGTTGCCAACTTTTATATTTTCTAAAACCGGGCTATGGAAAAAAGAGAAATCGGGGGTAACTTTTCAAACTATGCTTCGCTGTATTAAACAGAATATTTATGCATAAGGCATATTTTCATACGTTATACCCAATGTTATACCATTTTCCCACGGTATTCTGAATTACTATTACGATCGCGAATTACCCCATTCCCACGAGCACGTTCTTAATTCGTTTCGACAGTTCTCTGTCTCTGTCTCTGTTTTGTTTTGGTTTCTCTTCGCTGCAAAATTGATGCAAAAGGTAGGTTCTTCCTAAAAATTTATAAGTTACCGTATTAAATTAGGGATATACATACATATTTGTAAACTTTACTTTTCGTACCCAAGAAATTCAAGTTTTGATTTGTGAGCTAGTTTCGATAAATTTCCGATAAAAACTAGAGATGGCACACAGTGCCGCCTAAGTGGGCAAAAATCGAAAAATTCGTTATCTGCAATATGAACTTGTTTGATATTTTTGTAAAGACAATTTATCCACTAAAAAAAATTAAACAGACACTAAAGTCGACAAATTTAATAATAAGAATTCTAATTTTTCTTCACTAAAAAAATGTCAAAGATATATTCTTTGAAATAAAATGTTGGTTTGACGTTTCTTGTTTTCATATAGAAAGTGGAGAATTACAGGAATTAAAATTTTGCAATAAAATTGAACACAGGGTGTCCCTGCGGTATTTTAGAAAAACAATTTTGTGCACAGACGGACGGACGGACGGACAGACAGTCACCGCTTAATCGATTTCTCTTTTCATTCTGATCATTTATGTATAAATTTGTCTATATCTATCTCGATTCGTTTGGCCTGTTACAAACAACCGTTATGTGAACAAAGTTATAATAGCCTTGTGCACAAGTGCGCTCGGGTATACACGAATGATTTGTTTACCCCTAAATAAAAAATGGTGGGAAAATACCTTTCGACCGAGATCCCATAAGTCTAAATCAGAAGAGTTTCGGCCCAGTTAATTAAATTTTTCGTAAATCAATATTTGAAAAAAGTAAAAAAAAACAGCATCAAAAATCTCATTATTACGATTCCATTGAAAAGATTTTTAAATATTTTTATGCAGATTTTTTAAGCCTAATCTGTTTTGTTATCTGAGGGGACTTTTTTCAAAAAGTTCTTTAAGAAACTAAATCGCTCCAGCTTGTTTAAATCCTTAATATTTTTCGGAAATATTTTGGTGGACATCTTAAAATATAATAAATTTTGTAGTCCCGGCGGAAAACCCGCAACTTTTTTTTGGTGATGCAGTCTAATGTACATACATACTCAGTAGCATTAGGAAGGGTCACCAACGATAGAAAAAATAGTATATAATATATATATATATATACATACATATTTGCATTTGTTAAACATATATGTACATACATATGTATACGCATATTTATTGTGTGTACATACATATGTATACGCATATTTTGGGGGTCAAGATTTGAATAATTAGATACAAAAACGATTACAAAAAAAATTCAAGAATTACAGTAGAAAGCGCGTAGTAAAAATACACAAGAAAATACATAAGAAAGATATAATAAAATTCGATTTTAGGTGAAATTTTAATAATTATCGTGAATTTTGAAATTGTTGTATAAAAAAAAAACTTTAGAATAATTTTTTTTTGTGTTAGGTTTCCTTTTGATTTATTAAAATAAATGAATTTGTATGTATAATAATGAAATTTGGTTGAGCATAGTGTTGTTATTTACAATGGAATTCTAGGAAATTTCAGGTTGGTGTGGGTGCTGCTTAGGCGCAGCTCAGAGGGGACGTGGGTATATTACAGGCGGCATGACGATTTAACAGGTGACTAACGGACAGGTGACATGACGATTTAGGAAAAGTGAGTTCCGCGTGATGAATTAGGAGCCCCGGCGGAACTCAAGGCTAAGTGCCGTCGGCATTTAGAAGAGGTGGGATGGCTTCAACTGACTCGGACAGGCTTCCATGTCTTTCGCTTTCTCTAATTTTTTACATTTTGGGATGACAGAGAATTTTGGTTTGTTGTAGCTGAAGGTAGAGCGGTGGCAAACCCTCAGCAAAACCCGCAGCAACTAAACAGTCTTGTTATATACTGGCTTTAACTAAGCTTGCCGTGCTCTTTAATATAAAAGACTTAAGACACGAACTTGCACTAAATCAATATCTGGTATTTAAAGTAGGATGAACAAAATATTCCGTCATGCTCATGAATTGTTAGTAATTGGCCACCAAAAAACCTTTAAAAAAGTGTTTTGGAAACTCTTGGTCTTTAATAACTTAATTAATCCAAGTTCCGGCCTAACAATTAATGTGATCACATCATCAACACTTGCAACACCATAAAAGTGCATCAATAAAAATGCAACAAATTAATTTATTGCGTCGATTAAACTCATCAAAAATGTTCAATATGGAATTAATACATATATGTAAGCATTCTAAATTCAGTAGGCGCTTTTGATCGAATTTTACGACAAAATTGAATTAAGCGTGCTTCGCATAAAAATAAAGTAAAAATTAAGCTGGGAGACAAATAATAATTTGCATATGATTACTCAACAGTTTATTTGGAGAAACCAAAAATTTATAGAAAGGTCACAAGTGAGTGGTTTTAAAAATATAATATTCATACTGTGAATAAAATTCATTACTTCCTTATTTGACATTTTTAAAAAATAATAAAACCCCCAAAACATTTGTTTATTTCGATTCTATTTTATTTTATTTGTTTCTTTATTAAAAAAGAATTAAAGTATGACTTCTTACTCATTTAAAAACCATTAGCACATTTAGGCATTTCGAAATTAAAACCAAAAATATAATAACTTAAATAAATATTTAAAAAAAAATAATAATAATTTAAATCTCATGTTGTATCAGCAATCTTCTCCAATATCCAATCGACATAGTGTTGCACACTCGAGTATACACCAGGCACTTCTGGTCGCGCACAACCCACACCATACGAGACTACACCGATCAAATAGTAGCGGAAGTCACCTTTATAAGACTGTGTAGACGAAATAAAATCAAACTGTAATACATCGTTTTTAGTTTAAGTTTAAATGGTCACTTAATTTACCTCTGGTATCATCAATGGCCCACCAGAGTCACCTTGGCATGTATCTTTGCCGCCAGAGAGCACGCCTGCGCATAGTACACCTGAATCGAATTGATCCTGCGATACTAGGCGATTGATGCGACGGTAGCTATTTTCGCAGACATCATTTTTGAAAATCGGTATTTGCAACTCCTGCAAGACGGTCGCCGAAATACCACCCTCCATGGTTTTGCCCCAGCCCACAACGAAAGGTGTATAATTTACGTAGGATTTTGTGCGAAGCGATTGTGTAGTGGGGAGACAGATTGGTGAAATGGTGTCGCGGAACTGTACGTTGCGTTCGAGCCAAAGTAAAGCCACATCCGACTTGCCATTACGTCTGTTGTACTGTGGATGTGCTTCTTTCTACAAAAAAAAAAGAGAATCAAACAATTCAAAAATTAGTTTAAGAATTTGGAAAATACTCCTCGTAATAGATGCAACTATCGATTAATTTATTTATAGATTTATCAGTATGTTAATCCATAACTTATAGTTGGAAAAACTAACGATGTATTGCAATTTTCCGGCTTATCTATATTTTTTTATCGATATCAATTTGAGATCGAAAGTAACGGTTCTATATCAAGATTTATATTTTTAGATCATTGCAAAATCCCTATTTTTTTATTTATATTTTTTCCAACCAAGAATAAGCTTAAATTGGGATTTTTATTTTTTTCAGACTAATTTAATCATTATTTTGTGGTGATTTTTATTTTTTCTATAAAAAAATCGTTATTTTGGATTCTTATTTTTTTCAATCTTTCTATCGGTTTAAATCTTTTATAAACAAAAATTCAAATCTGAAAATAACGGTTTTAATACGATCGAAAAAAATCAAAAATAAGGAACTTGATCGAAAATATAATAATAAGACGATTGTTCTTGAAAAAATAAAAATTATAAAATAAAAGTGAAATTTAATCAGCAAAATATAAATTCAATTTTAATAGTTAGTAGTGATGTTTATTATTAAGATTATAACCGTCACGGTCCCTGATATTAATACATGTCTATTTGCTCGATCTATATTAACAATTTCACTGATAGTGCTATCGGTTATATCGATTTCACGAATAATAAGTCTATTAATCGAATTTCTTTCGACTAGTTGATTCTTTTACTGATATTATGAATTTTGTATCGATATATTTATCGACATCGATTAAAATCTCAATTTATCTTCTAAATTTGTGCTTGTAAATGTATTAATGGGTACAATTTCGATAGATGTAATGCTATTGATTTTTGCCGATTTTATCCAATTGTTTTTCAATGTATTTATATTAATTGAAATGTCAGTGATTTTTGATATTCGATGCTGATAAATGCAGTAGTCGATACAATTTTGGTAGATACAGCGCTCGAAATTATTACTTCTATCAATGTTATTCAACTGCTTATCGATATTTTATCGATATCAATTTGAAAGTCACTGATTTTTATATCGAGCCTTAACCGCCAAAATAACGTAAGCGACATTTTTGATGCAGAAATGCATCTAGATGCTCTAGGAATATTTCTGCATCAAAAAGAAAATTTTGAAAAAAATGCCACTTACGTTATTTTGGCGGTTAGGGCTCGATATGCTTAAAAATTTAGTAATGGCTTATGGAGCGACATTTTTACCGACTTCATACATTTTTATCGATATATATGACGATATCAATTTGAATGGTAATATTATCTAATGCTGATAGTTGTACATACTAATTGGTAAAATTTCGATAGGCATATCGCTTCATAATTAATCTTTTAACAATATATTTATCGGTATAGTTTTATATAGCAGTGTCGATGCTCATAAATGTGCCTATAATTTGGAAAGTGGCCCAAGTTACTTCACAGCTTTTGTGCTTAAGTGACCACCTGCAATTGAAACCCGAATGGTAATTCATTCAACTTCATCAACCAAAGGTATGAGATTTTGCCGATAAATTATGACGATAAAAATATTAACAGAAGCATTTGGTTAGAAGTAGCCGATCAGATATATAAAAGAAGAGAGAAATGACTAAAGCAACTTTCAAAATCATGGCCAAAAATATACTAATCGATATCACTTCCATAAGTAATACGCTAAATATTAGTTCTTTTAACAATAATACCGACTTTTTTATCGATAACGATAAGTCGGTACTTCTTGACGTCCGATAATGATAACCGTATTAATTGATACATTTATCGAATTGTTTGTCGATGTATTTATCGTAAATATATTCGAGATTAAAGGGCTTAGACGGATTTGTGAATCGTAAAGACTACACTGAGGGGAAAAAATATTAAAATGAAATAGAAACGTAATTGGTCTTACTATAAACGTCAACGAAAGTACTGTATATTGGTAAATATTCAATTCAATTACGCGCATATTAAAATGACCTCGTTCATACTGAAAAAGCATCCGCGAGTGAATAATCAAGACAAAAACTAAAAAAAAAAATTTAATTTGCATGTTGCCGGCAGTGGAATTCGAACCCGACCATCTCCGGATATCAACGACTTGTGGCAAGCATCTTTGCGCACTCAGCTACACCCAGGCATATAAATTCGCTTTCAACTGTTGAATATCCATCAACACCACAGCACACGATTTGTACTATGTATGTATGTGTGTGTTGTCGCCGTTCTCAGAGCGGCGCTCTGCATGCTTGGGGTGCGTATGTACACTTACATATACATACATACTCAGATGTGAACAGTCAAATACGTGCGTAATAAATTTTGTATGAAAATATTATTTTTAAATACGAACATTTTTAAACGATAATCAAATATAAAGTATTCATTTTTACTATGCATTATTTCCCTCAGTGTAAGTAAGCTTTAAAAATGAATGCTAAGTAAGGTCACACAATGAGGATGTATGTGATGAACGCAATAAAAAGATCTTCTATGACGAATTCGGAGGTATGTCTTAGGAGGGGAAGACCAAACATTCTTGTATAGCTACAGTTGGAATTTGGATTTCGCTTATAAAATATTGAATTAAATACTATGAACAATAACGTCTATTGAAACTTAAACCCACCGCTTTACATAAAAAATATTTCACCCCCCACCACTTACCCGCACAATATTTATATCCTCGTGTCGCGTCTCCGTGTCGGTACTCAAATCGTGTTCACCCAAACGTACATAGGCGCTAAAAAAAAAAATAGATAAAGAAATAAGTCAGTAATTTGTTCATACTTCCCGCCCATTTTCTTTCACTTACAGATCATTCCGTATGCAATGTGCGGCGGTAATCACATGTCGTGCTGTCACCAGCGTGCCGCCACATTTGAATGGTGAAGCTGAAGAACCATCTGGATAGGCTAGCAGTGCTGCCCATGGCCATGCACCCTTCTTACTCACTTCTCCACCAACAATTTTCTTATAAGAATTCGATGTATGACCGCAACCCTCCTCCAAAGTTAGTGGACGTGTTGGCACCTCGTCAGAATTGTGTATTATCACTGGCGCATTTGTGACGGCTTTGTCTGTTGTCGGACAGCAAGCAACAGAACCAGCACCGCCACAATTGCGATTTGAGGCACGTAAATAATCAGCAAATTCAGGATCATTCGATTTCGCATAGAGTTCTGTAATCAATTGTGGGCAACTGGAGATGGCTAAAAAGAGGGAAATGAAAAGTGTTATTCGTATGGGAATTATATACAGATAATAGGTCCGGTAGAAAGTCAAAAGCAAATAGTTTTTAGATAAAGCTAGAATCCAAATAATCACTTCAAAAATATTCACTCGCCGCAATTAGTCCTGAATGTTGGACAGTTGGGCCAATTCAACAGCTCTTTTGCAACTCGTGGGCTCTGTCACTCGGGGTCTGCACTTTTATGGTCAAAATTATTATCTGCTATTTGGCAGTTGTACTGCTCTCCAACTGTCAATCAGAGGTGTAGGAAATCTTTTGAAGTCTCTCAGTGGGCACAACTTTTGCTGCCTTCAAGAAAATTAAATGAACACTCGGTGGAGGCAGTCATTTCTGGCATACAACAGACTACGCCTAACCCCATGTTTACTGAAAACATTTGAGAGTCTTTTTTAGACTTAAATATGAATAGATTGAAGAGATAATTCTACCGAACCAAATATCGGGAGATAAAAATATTTCCGTAAGTAATTTAGGTTGGGCGGCAGTGCTATGTTGACACACTTGGACTCCGATTTCTTCGTAATACCGCAGGAGGTTTGAATTTATCCCCGTTCCCCGGTGCTTATCAAGAACGTGCATAAGGTTCCATCATCTATTACTTTTAGGTCATTGATAGCATTGAAGAATAACCGCAAAGCGCTTTTACTGTTCGTTTTGATAGAGTCGGGCAATTGCAAAAAAGATATTGGATGGTTTCTTCTTCGTACTCATCCATGCAGCTTCTGCAGTAGTCGTTCCAGGGTTCACCCAGTCCGGCTGCGTGTAGTAAAATCAGCCAATACCCGGTGATAACTCCAGTTACTATACGAAGGTCCTGCCTCCTTAGACTAAGTAGAAACTTAGTACATTGAGCATCTATGGCTGTAAAAATTTTCATGTTTGAAGAGGGGTGCCAAGAGTATCTCTTATTCTGTATCAGGCAGTACCGTTTCAATGGTCAGTTAACCAGGCAATGCGTGTGCGGAATGGCTGAGAGATCGCTGGCATTTAGCGACTATATTTGAGGTCAGCGCCATTTTTCCCAGAGATTTAAAAGACGCCTTACTGTCAGTGCAAATGTAGATATCATGACTAGGAATCGTATCACATTATAGCAGTGAGAAAGCCATCAATTTTTACCCCTCATCGTGGGGTACTTTTTAATACGAGAAATTCCTAGTTCTCAGTTTATGATCCGATTTCGAAGGAGATTGTTGGCAAACCCTACCAGCGCGTTGCAGATTCCAAGTTCCCAGAGCGGTAAACATGCTTGTGCGAAGAGTAAACAAACAAAGACAGCTTTTTATAGGTTGGAGTTGCGGAAAGAAAAGGCTAACATTCCGGGAAATACACACTCGAAGGTTTTTCGCGGCATATCGAGGGCTTTCAATAACTTCTCTATCAAGCCATTATTGGAGGTCTTTACTCAGTCGCAGCTAATCCTTCCATATATTACCGGATAGGCAAACTTTTTGATTGTAATTCAGCGTTGGGGTATTTATGCGGTTCGTGGGGCTACAAACATCTGAACTCTTCGAACTGAAGCATATCAGAATCAAGTTAATGTTAAGTTGACTAAACTATGCTTCCTTTGGAGAACGGATATGCTCTATATTTAACTTCTTAAGTACTTACCAGTACAAACACCGCGTCGTAATCTTGGATCAACACATTCCTGTCCAGATGCACGATCTACAACTTCTCTTGGCGCCTCTGTTGTACTCGTTGTTGCTGTGGGACGAGAAGTTGAGATCTGAAGTGGTTGATTGGTTGCTGGTCTCGGTTGTATTATAACTGGTGCCGAAGTAGTTGAAGGTACGGTGGGTAGGAAAGGATTTGTCAGTCGTTCCGTAATAGGCTGTGGCTGCGGTTGTGGTTGTGGCTGCGGTTGTGGTTGTGGCTGCGGCTGCGGCTGTGGCTGCGGCTGCGGCTGTGGCTGCGGCGCTGGATTAACTGGCCGTGAGCAGCAAACCTAAAATCATTTTGTAAATAATTAGAATTTTTTATTTACTTTTCTTTGTGCCAAACATTATCTAACATACCAGTGGATTGCCGTTAACACTGCGTGTGCCACAAGAACGCTGAGATGCTATAACATAGCGTTCGGCTTGATTGCGATTGCGTACGTTGAATACATTCGCTATTTGTGGACAATATTGTAGTTGCACGCAAAAACCGTAGTAGTTTTCCGGTGTGACGCAGTTATACTGGCCTGTGGAAAAAATAATAAATTGATAGAGCTCTAAATTGTAATAGTAAATGGAATGGTGAATTATGAACAATCGTCTTCATCCATAACTTCAGCCTTGACGATCTTACTATTCCCATTGCATATTGGAGTAATTAGATCTTTTAAGAAGGGACAAGTGTATCGCCAATGGTCCCAAGTACTATAAAAGGCATTGTCATTAATGTACTTTCTGATCATCTGGAAATACGAGGATCTGTGAATTTTCGTCTTAGGCTAAACTAACATCAATTGATAAGGCTACTGAAAAATAAGGTGCACTGGGATAGTAATAAAAGGTTCACTTACAGCCAGTCGACCATAAATCCATCAAGTCTATAAACGAGATGCGAGAGAGTCTTTACTGGGGAGGACCAGGCACTTCAGGAAGAGGTTCACCATTAACAAAATACAATTGGAAATGACGCAGAGTAACTAAATGTTAGTAAGTAAATCTTGACTTCAAAAGTAACGTTCAAGTCCAATTCAATTTAGAAGAAAATTGAGAAGAAACCCAGTTGCCGATAGAGAGGCTGTCTACACCGGCGCATCTCCAAGATAAACTGCGGTTCACTCTCGATCCGCTCCTGCCACATATACATACATTTGTATGCATTAGCGCACACAAGGGGTGGGTTTTGGGGTTCAAACCCCCCCCTAAAGCTAATAGCCTCAAATACAATATGTATCTTAAAGCTAAGAATCCAGCTCTCAAGGAAATTATAAGAAATATTTATTATAATTTCTGTTGCTTGAAAAAGCGCGAAAATATACGAGCTTTTATTTCTTGAGAGCTGCAAATTGATTTAAGAAATTTTGGTAGAAGAATATTTCTTTTCCATTTCTCGTCCGTCGTTTAATATGAATTTTTCGTTTTTCTTGAGAGTTCAGTTAATTTTTGCGGTATTTGAAATATTAAAAAAAAATTAACAATCGTGAAAAATAACCATCTCTATCGAAAACCAGAAATCGAAAAAATTAACATAGAAGTGCAAAAATTCATGGAATCAATAAATTTATTTTTACTGACTCTTAAAATTTTTGATTAGGTACTTTTGAAAGTTGAGCGCATCTTGAGTTTATAGAACTTTTTATTAAACAAGTAGTTTTTAAGGAAAGAACACAACCGACTTCAATTCTCATATTCAAATTTAGGGGTACCGTTAATTTCTTCATGATCCAATCATCGGATCTCTAAAACAAATTACGGGACGAACCTTGAGGTACTATCTTTCTAATAAAAAAAAGGATTATTGAAAACGGTTCACGTGGTCCAAAGTTATGTATTCCGGCGAGATGATAACCTCCCTTTTTTTGAAGTCGGTTAAAAGCGTTTGAGTTCTGTTTATCCGTAAATAAAGTGCAGTTTATGAATTTTAAAACGTTTATTTATTTATTACATACTGTACATAAAACTTGCATAAATGTATTTTAAAGAGGGTATTATCTGAAGCAAATTTTCAGTATTTTCCGGTGATATATCTTCAGAAATATAAAACCCCCCCCTAAAATATATTCCTGGGTGCGCCCCTGTTTGTACGGGTAAATACGAGTAGTCTCCTAAGTACATATATGTCTACAATTATCGCTCAATCTATCACTAAGCACTTTGTTTAATTTCAATTCATTGTCAAGGCTTTAAACAAATATCTCCTGAGTATAGTATATTATTGATTTATTTAATTTTTTGTATTTTCAACTCTCATATTCCTATTCATGTATTTATATATATGTATATGTATATTTTTTTTTGCACGCCCGAATATTCATGACCTTGAATTCGGGCCATCAACTGACCGCCAACTGGTTTACAAAACTTGCATACGAAATACTAAGTGTCATGAGTGTATGTATGTACTTGTGCAGTATTTTACCAAAATTGATATTTAATGCACATAAAAAGTAGCTTCTGGAAATTAAATTAAGACCAGCAGCGGTTAAATTAAATACTCTCATACGCTTTTGTATGCTTTTGTATATTCGTAGTATATGAATACCAGCCAGCTTAATTAAATGATCATAAACGCGGGAAACTAAAATAGCTACTATAAAAACTGCAGCAAACTTTCTAGCAGATCATTAAATAACCCAACAGAAGTGAATTGGAATGAATATCATCTTTTACAGAAAGAATTTTAAAGGAAACCACTTTTTCTATGTCATCAAAGCGCTGCACAGTGGTTCAAAACTGGCATTTGGTGTTCACAACTCACTGGAGCCTTCATTTTTTTTACTCCATTTCATTCTCTTTTTTTAATTAAAGCTAATAAAATTTGCAGGCGACTAATTGGTTTTTGAATTTTTATTTGTTTGTATTAAATTTTTTAGTGCAAAATGGAGCAAAAGTAGCGATTCTAAAAAAAAATTACACTATCCCGTTTCAAAAATTTCACAGAAATTAAAAAAAAAATGTTTTTAAAAAAATATTGCGTATGCAGTTTTATAGATAATTAAATTTTAGTATAACAAATTGCAATTTGAATGTAGCTAAGAGGTCGCATTGATTTTTAATAACAGCTGCGTGCTAAATTGGAAATAATAGCGTTTGTCATATTATTAAAAATTCAACGCGAACTCTTAGCCACTTGGAACTTGCACTCACTGCACTTCATACCCAAAATTTTTATAAAATGCAAAAAAACTAGTTAGCTTTGATGAAAATTTTTAAATTTTTTTCAATTTCTGAGAACTCTACAATTGTTTTAAACTAGTTTTATTATATAACATTTATTAACTGGAACAGGAGAAGCGATTTTCTTCAAAAATTTGCTACTCTTTCTGCACTTTGCGCCAAAAAAAACTTTATAAAAAACCTGTTTTCGCAAAATGTTAATCTGATAAATGATTAAAATTTAGCTATTAAAATGTTAATCGCGATTGACGATTAAAATTAATTAATCGTAATCAGCTGCACGATTAATTATTAAATTTTTTTTTTAATCATTAATCATCGGTTGTGGTTACGATTAATTAATTTTAATCGTTAATCGCTAATCCAATTAAAAAGAACATCTGATTAATCGGTCTAGTTTGTCCGAATTTGAAACCAAACACCAGTTTGTTATTTTGTTTTTCACGCTTATAAAAAACAGATAATATATAAAAAAAAAAATATTGTTATTCTTATTAGTAACACATAAATTGGTGATTTTTACAAGCCTTCACAAATGTACAGGGGGTTATTAATACCTAGTTTGAATAACGTCTCTTAGAATAGATCTTAATAAAAATGCACACCAAATTGCTTAGATTGTTGAGGACAAATGACCTTGCCATACCCGATTAACTGGCCTTCTGTGCACAGGAAAATTCCAGAATAAATTAATTTATCACCAAATGATTAATGATTAAAAACTAATTTTTTTTAATTAAATCGAATTAACTAATTGATTACAAAAATTCAAAAATCGGGCTCAATTAACCTTTTGCAAATTTGAATAGCTTTCATTAAAAAAAAAATTAATTAAATTAATTGAGTGAAAAATTAAGGCTGCAGTGAATTGTGAACACAAAATGCCAATTTTGAACCACTGTGCCCTGCCTTTTTAAGATTTCGTTTTTGTGGTACAAGGTCGTTCTATGACCCCTTAACCTTTGAGTGCGAATAAAACAAAACTCATACATTCTGGACTATGGCTTCATTTGATGAAAACTTCAATAGTATTTATAAAAAAAAGTTTAAACTTTTGAGTCTGTGTTATTTTTACAAAGGTAATTTTTTACCGTTCCGTATATTTAAGATTGTTCCTATTTACTGATTTTGTAGTAGAACTTGTTTCATATATTTAATCACACTGGTGACAAATGACTTTATTTTACATATGTAAATATTTATTCAATAAAATCAATATTAAATAGTTGACTTTTAATGCCATTTTCTGACTTGCATTTTCTTCATGATTTTATTTGAATATTCAAAAGTTTACTCATACATATTTACACTACTACCGCTAAAAATTTTCACACAATATTCCAAGACTTAGCGAAATTTAAATTAAATGTTTATTTTAAATTACATGCGCGTGATTTGTTTTTTTTTTTTTTTGTTTGCCTTACATTTCCAACCTACCTTGTGAGTAAACCGCTGGCAGTATGGCAAAAGCAAATGCCAATAGAGCTATAGAAGTTCTCATCTTATAGCAATTTCGAAACTTTTATGCACTAATTGAGGTTTGAAAAATCCTGCAGCTTCACTACAATTTTTTCTTTCTTTAATTTTCTAATTCACACCATCACTCGTACACGAATTATTTATTATATGATTTATGTAATTTTAAATTTTGTCAATTCTTCACTTTTTGTCTTGATGACGCGATATGCCGATAAGCTTGTCGAATGCTAGCTTCTTTCTATGTACGCGCTCAAATCGAAACTGTTTACGAATATCACAAACGAATCTTCACATAGCGCAAAACTGCTAATTTTTCAGCTAACTAAGTTTTCAGCGAATCATTTTTACACAAACCATTCAACAGCATTCGCATAAACAAACTGCCAGCCGGTTTATATTTACAATGCATATTTGTACATGTGTCGTGTATGAGCCGTCATCAGTTATTTAGTAACACAGCCAGTGTCCAGTCCAGACAGTAGCCGGTTACATGAAACACAACACGAGCGATTAAGGGTGTATGAATGTATTTACTTACATACATGCACATGTATATACAAGCATAAAATTGTGCGAAGTTAATGAATGACAACTTTATTAATAACTTGAAATTAATGCATAATTTAGCATGTATTTCACTTAACCGCCCAGCTAAACGGGGATTTCTTGTGAGAGTTTGGTCAAAATTAGCAATGCTAACGATGGAAAATAAAATCACTTGCCAACAAACTCACTTGCCACTTAAGGAAACTACAAATATGAATTGTTTAATATTGAAATTAACATTGAGAATATTCAAATTTTGTTTAGTTTAAATTATAGCAAAATTGCTCTGCTTACACTTGATTTCAAGAGCGCGAGAACTATGACGAAGGCATTCATTGCGTGTATTCTACTCTCCACAACAAACGGAAGACTGAAAGCACGAACTTGCTCTGCAGCAGCGGCGCGCACATCTTGGGAAGTAACCGTATCTAGTAATTACAGTTATTAGGCAACACAAAAAAATACCCCAGAGACAAGCAAATACGCTGGTATTTAAATTCTATTGTGTACAGTTACTATGAGAAACTAGAGAAATTATTTTCGCTCATATTCACATAAGAATACACGAATGTATAAGTAATTTTACATATGCTATGCTATACATAACAGTATTTGAAAAAAAGAAATAGATAAACTTATTTATAGCTTTCATAAAATTCATACCAAAAATAAATTTTTCTGAGTGAGTGCATTATGTGACCAATTTTCGTATATGTTATTATATTTTTTATTTTGAATTATAATTTTGTGCTTTGTATTAATTGGCGTTGATAAAAAAAAAGAAAATGATTTGTGGCTTTTCAGATTTTTTGGGGTTTTCTTCGAAAATTTTCGGGAGTGCTTCTTGGAATTTCAGTTTTTTCGTAACCTTTTTTGCGCCTTTCGAAATTCCTTCGGGATTTTTCGTGTTTTTTTTTTTTTGTAACTTTTGCGGGCTGCAGTTTTTTCGGGACTTTTCCATTTTTTTTTTTTTTTGATTTTCGCAGAACTCCTGTGGGGCCTTTCAATTTCTATTGCGTTTCTTCGAGATATTTTCAGTTATTGAAAACTTTTTGGAGCTAATTCTGCAGGACTCTTTTAGTTCTTTTTGAGATTCTTAGCAACTTTTGCCAGTTGGGATTTTTAGAATTTAAGACAAGTAAGTTTTAAGCAAAAAACATGAACGAATTCAATTCGCATATAAAATATAAAAATAAATTTTAAAAATTTAAAAGTACCGTCAATTTCTTTATGATTCAATGATCGGATCTAAACCAAATTAGTATGGGAACACCTCTGAGGTACCTTTCCTTAAAAAAAAAACGTTTAGAAGTCGGTTAACGTAGTCCAAAGTTATGCGGTAACATACATAAAAAAAAATATTTGCAAATTGATAACCTCCTCCTTTTTTTGAAGTCGGTTAAAAAAAATTCTTTTTCAGAATTCGTGGAGACTTCTTTGGGATATTTTGGCTTTTTTGTAAATTTTTTAGATTTTCACGAATTTGCGGTTTTAAACAATTTCTGTGAATTAAAAAAAAATCTAGATTCCTTAGGGACACTTCGAGTTTTTTAACGACTTTTTGTGATTTTGTTGTTGTTGTTGTAGCAGCATACAAATTCCCCAAAGACTTTTTGGGGAGTGTTGCTGGAGTGACAGTCCTTGGCCAGATATAAATCTAGGTCGTTCCGGTTACGTAGACCCGACTGTCGTGGTGTCGTGTTTGTGATTTTGTCGCGGTCTTTTATGTATTATTTTGGGACATTTCGGTATCGTTGGAGTTTTATTTTGAGTTTTTTACGATTTTTTTTTTGTTTCAGTTTTTAAGGTATGTATCTTAATTTAAAAATATCAATGAAATTATGGCTCGTCTAAAAAAAAATTAAATAAAAAGCTGAAGTAACCACTTTTCTGGCTGAAATATTTAAGTGAAATTTAATATTTGGTTAATTTTTTTTTTTGTATCTTGTTTTTTTTTTTTTAATTTATAGCCGGTACGAGCTCTATATAATTTTAATCTGTTGGGATTACATTTTCTCTATTATTAACTGGTAAAGGTTAAAAATTGGTAAAGGCCATTGAATAGTTTTCTTTACGCTCAGTTGAATTGTGTACCCATCTTTCCCCAAAGCTCTTACTAAGATCCATTCAACTACCATATATAAGATTTCTTTAAGAAAAAATTAAAAACATTTTTAAGAAGAAATAGAACGCTGGAGGACCTAAATAAGAACCTTTGTTATCCGACAAAGTAAAATATCTTTAGAAAATATATAGCCAAAAAAAGTAGTGCAAAAAAGTTTCGAACTAGAATATTTTTGAACAGTGTTGCCACCTGTGAAAAATTAAACTCAGTAAGTAATTTGGGTTAAACAATATGGCATGGATACTAAAGGGAAGGCATTTATGGCCATATTCAATTTCATTAAATGGAGTTGCCATCTTTCAGAAATTAAAAGTATTTATATACGCATTACGTACGCATGTTGAAAGTATTATTATACACATTAGTATAAAAGTAAATTTTTTTTTTTTTTTAATAGCGTTGCCACCTAGCAATAAAAAATAAAAATAAATATAGATGTTTTTTACGCGTCTGCTGGTAACAATATTTACAACAGTGGAGTAAAATATATACAAAAATGGCATAAAAAAGCACACGACTACAATAAAGAAGGTCGTCTCTTTCAATAGTTTAAAGGAGAAGATTTCTTAAAATTTTTCTATTTCAATACTTTTGTATTATAGGACCATCCTTTTCTCTGGGCTGTACATTTACACCTACTATTTTAAATACAGCCGCTGACTTGACGTCCTTACATGCTATGATTAAAATTTAATCTAGTTTAACATGTAATTCACCTTCCCATGCAATTCAATAGAAAGTTCTAATATTGCACTGCATGAAAAATAATACAACGAGCATTATTTGGTCAATTGAATCACTTTGAGAATTTGTTGTCGGAAAATGACGTATATGCATTTATATACTCTGAATTGCTTAATAAATTCTCACATTTAAAATTCTTTGAGCATTACAAATTAAAATAAAATCAATAATCGTGTCCGGCATTCGAAACCAGTGACCAGTGTGTCATCAACTGTGTCAACGCCGTTTTGCGGCTGCATAAATAGTAAAATGCTAAAATTATATCATCGAGTTGTGGGCAGCAATAGCAACAGTAATAGTATTAAATATGTAGCATAAATGCTGAACACCAAAGTTGTGCTGCAATTGCAGTTTTTATTTGCGCCAGCTTGGCATCCGTTTATGCGGATATTCCAAATTATTTACGGATTTGCGTTTCAAGGTAGTTCAGTTTTTTATAAGCTTTTTTGTTATTCATTTTTGTCGACATTGCGTGCAAAAACGCTTTTTCCAAGAATGCTGCTTGAATCAACTTTGTTGACATATCAAAAGTAAATCAAATGATAAAACTTAAGTAAATATGGTTGCGAAAGGGAGAATACTTCTAAGCTGACTTGTTAACAAATTTCATAAAAAGAGTTTTTGCCGCTATTTTGTTTTTTTTTTTTAATAATACAGTGTGTAATAAATACTCGACTGTAATTAAACATAATTACAGCTAAAATGTATTTTTTTAGATTTCCAATGAAACGTTGAGTAATTAAAGCAAACTTTTTCATCGTTCTAGAAACTATTTAGAAAGAGAAAATTAATGGCTTCAGCAATAATTATTTCTACGTCTAGACGTACCATAGTTGAGGACAGAATATTTGCTCCCACACTGTGTGGAACAGACTCCATTTGCGTTACAAATCTACACTGAAATAAGTATGTTTTTTGAAATATAAGATGCAGATCTGGACCCATTTGAATGTGAGAACAAATTGGGTTTTCATAAATCTAAGTCAATGATAGATGCGATCTGTGACAAGTGCGGAGACCACTAAAAATATATAATCAATGATAACCTTGGCAACTGAAGCTGGGTTCCGTATTCACTGCTGGAGATATATGTATGTACTTAGTAGGTTAGCACTTTATAGAGATAGGGTGCTTTACAAAACAAATTACGGAATAGAAAGGCACAAGGCCATAGAATTTTCATTTTTGCAGACGTCATTGCATAGATTCCTATCGAACTCCTTCAACCAAACAGAAACAAAGGAAATATTACACATAAGTTTGATTCCTCAAAAAACGTCTTTGACTCCCTAATGAATCTTCGAGAGCCGTTCTACATCTAAGCCAAAAATGGCGCCCAGTTTTGTTATACAAAAGTGGGACAACCAAAGAGAGGGACTCTCACGAACACAATGGAAATATGAAGTCCAGAATAACAGGCGAAACTTGGCCAATAAGGCAAGAAATAAACGCTTGTAGCAACAAATTAGAAAAATAACTTAGTTGATTTGTTAGTTATAAGTCGGCATAAACGGTCCTTGTGTCCGTTGTTCATTAGGTCTTGCATCCAACTGATAATTCGCGCAAAACCCCGGAGCGATAAATAACTCTAATTCCACTGATTAAATCGCAAAACCACAGTAATTCAGTTTGGAATTCTGAAGATCCCAGTGTTTGCTCCCATATAAAATGTAAGCTCAGACTTGTTTCACTTCGTGAAAGAATCCATGTAGCATTAACTTATATTCTTGAATGAGGAGCCTTTCCAGGACCTTTAGAGAAGTATAGCTACCACCGCAGAAGTACGATTTGCAAAATTATCCGATTGCGAAGCCCTCCATACTCAATGCATAAATTAATCTGAATTTGTTCCTTTATATGCTATCTAGTTCAGTGTTGGTTACTTTTTTGGTCTTGGATCGGCCGTAAAGCCATGGTCGTATCTTCTAATACAAGGTATTCTTGACCGCTTCATTTCTCTCTAGAAGGTAGACTTGCTTAAATCTAAATCAGGTTCTACGGAATGATAGTACGCACCTCTAACTAGTCAGCCACAGCCTACGCAATAGCAATCGATATTTCTCTCCCATTTTGCCAATAATATTTAACTTACACATCGTGTTTATTGGTTCCTGTGAAATATTTAGTTCCAAAGGAAGTAAATCTAGTATTTATGTTTTTCTTCAGCCTTCACAGCACTAAAACCGGGAACCCAAGTTTTTTAAAATATTCTCAGACTCTACTCAAATTCTTTGAGTTCTCAGTTCAGTATAGTCCTATAGTCCTATACAGAATTACTCCTAAATATTTTACTTCTATTGGAAGACATAGGTTTGTTCCTCTAAGAACTAAAAGCTAAGACTTAATAATATTCTACTCCGCTGATGAAAAGCACTTGGTGGATTGACAAATTGGATGAGCTCGTAGAGGGCGTGCAATCTTATTACTGACAATAGAAGAATGGCATACGCGGAAACAAGGAGAATTGAAGTACCGCCTGACCAAGTTATCAACATGTCCTTGCTCATTCTAAATGATTTTTCTGTCCCTAGTACAGGTTTAGGCTGTCACTGATTTTTTCCGGCAGGCCAGCTGTAGTTCCATCCCATCCCTTTCATATACATATAGGTGTACATATATAATCCCATCCGTTTTCATATCGATATAGGTGTCTCACACTTACAAACATGTGGTAAATTTCTAAAAGAGATTACTTTTTGAATATTTGGAAGTCGTATCCATTTCCTAATCAGTCAAAAAGCTTTAACAACTTTTATGAATTCTTCTTCTTTTTATGAATTGAGGTTAAATGTTAATTAAACTTGAGAATTACTCTACTAACTTGGATTTCTCTTACTCTATTCTACTATATTTATTAGCTTTGCGAATATATTAATTAACAAAGGGGACTACCAAAGCTTTTGCCATTTCAACAAACAGTACACAGTCCATATAGTTTGCAAGTAAATATAGACTTACAGCCAAGGATCCCCTCGAATTATCAAGCTTAAACAAATAAGTATAATATATTCCATATAAATATTTATGTAAATAGGTATATGTAAATATGAACAAAGCCCAAACCATTTAGTACCTCTTTTCACTTAACCCAACAATTGTGTGTTCGCTATAATTGAATCAATAACCAGATTTAGTGTTTTTAACCGTTCCCAAACGAAAGTGTTCCATAAATTGTTAGGCATGTAAATTTGTATGTACGTACATACATATGTGTACATATATCACGTGTATTAAGTGCCATCTTCTTCATTTTAATTACCTCTTTTTTTCTATTCATATCATAGACTTGTTAACGACTCAAGTGTGATTCGCTTAAAAGTTAGTTAACCGCAAAACAACCAGTTCAACACAATCAGCAGTCAACAAGTTAGTCGATCAAGTAGTTGTACTTCAAATTTTTGTTGTTTTTTTTTTCTTAGCGCATTCGTGTTTTCAACGAGGGAGAGAGCGAGAGAGCCGCTTACTAAAGTAAATAATTAATTTTGTTTGCTTGTAAATGATGACACTTAAAATATGTAGCTCTTCACACAGACGCCCAAGCGTAATTACGACAGTTAATTGGTGGGAATCTGGAATCGTACACTTAGAAAAATTTTGAGCATTTACATTTACAAGTATTTAGATATTAAACATTTTCTAAAATATCACACAGTTTGTGTTAAGAGAGACTTATGGTTAAGAGTAGATCACCGTATGCAACACGATCTGACCCTAGGCTACCTGAAATTGGTCCACTCTAATGTACATACATATATACGTGTATATACTTGCGGTTTATTTTCTTTCGTTTTTTCTGCTACCAGCATATCTTCATGATTATTTGGCAAGACTTAATTCAATGATAAGCTACTCAAGTATGTATGGACGTAAGTACCATTGTTTGTGCATATGTATGTATGTTTTCAAACAAAGTGGCGTGCTTATAAAATATGTGTGTACGTGTACGAATATGTATGCGCCTTTGAAATCGATAGTGAATTCAAGTTCATGGCTTAAACCATTTTTTTGTGTGGTATTTCCTAACTCATTGACAACCTAGAGTTCACCAGTTTTTTATCTAGATTTACATTTTTAATTAAATCAAGCACAAATATGGCTGAGATATTGGCTTTAAAACCAACTAAAATTAGGCTAAATTCAATTTCATCAGCATCGCTTATTATTATTTTTCTTGTTTGGCGCTGTAACCGCGGTTAGGCGATTTTGTTCAGTCGCCGCACATTGGTGCAAATGCAAAATTTACTATTCTAAAAGGTCTACAGCCTACGATTCTTGACGTAAACTCATTTTTTTTTAATGGAAAGGTAATGAAATTTTTAAGAGGCTTAAGGAGAAGATTGTACTTGGATTTTTCATTGATAATATCATCTAACAAAATATCATGATTTACTTGTACCTAAAAATACACATCAAATTTGGACCCTTATTTGGAATATGATAGCAAAGTTAGTAGTTGACACGAATTAGAGACAAAATTACCTCGGAGAGTACTTCTGCGCCCACACCAGTTGTAGAGGGCAAATGGAATGGAAATTTTAACTCAAAATTTTTCTAAGGTCTAGCGAAGGAAAAATGTAAAATGAAAGTGTATGTAAGACACAACTGAGCCCAAATTTCTCGGGTTTCAAGGAACTGTCTCTTTCAGTATGAATGCGGAGTTACCCACAATCGATCTTTTTTCATTGGTTCGTGTTCCGTGTGTATTAGACCGTACCACCCTATAAGTAAACAAAAAAGGTTTTTCCATGCACCCCTGAGTCTGTTTGAAAAACAATTTCGAGAAATATTTCTTTTTTCTTTGGCTGAACCCAGGGCTCGTATTTTTACATTTTCCGGTGACACCTACATTTTGCCATAATTTTTCCGCTGGAATAATCAAAATACCTCCTTATCAGTTTAATGATTTTTAGAGAGCTTTAATTTACTGATATTAGGGTAGTAGGAGCTGAGATCTGGTGGTTGAGTGCTACTAAGGAGTGCCTTGCAAAAATACTTTAGACTTAGGCGCGAACTACGTACTTTTTTTCTGATATGGTCTAGAGTGCATGCGTAAACATACAACTTAAATTTAAAAAAACAATTCCAAAAAAATTCAATAAATTTTCATTAAAACACTAGATATAAAATTAAATTCTTTTTATTTTAAACTAATTTTTCTAGCTAACATTTTTTAGAATGCGCTTAGAGCTGACTTTTCAAAGCTACGTTAAAAATATTTACATTTAAAAGTTAAAAAAACAAAACTTAAACAATGCATGCGGTTTCGCGGAAAAAAGGAAATATAGCAACGTGTAACTATAAAATTGGCATTTTATAGGTACATGCATGCTTACATATGTACACATACATACATACATATGTAAGTAGACTTTTTCAGAGCACATTTATTCGGAAATCAACAGGCTTAGTAAACTTAAGCGGTTGGCCATATTTCTTCTTCACCTTGAAACTGCTTGCTTAAGTTTAAGTTAACCATTACTTAAGCTCTAGCGCCCTGCATACTTAGTAGGTGGACAACCGCTATATATGTAGTACTATAATATTTATAGCCAACCAAGATTGAAAAGCGCCACTTACTTAAAATTAAAAACTAGAAATTAAGGCCAACATCCATGTGCGGGCGGGTACTATTTACGTCTGCGCCAGCATCTCCAATATCCAATCTATGTACTGTTGTGTATTTGTATAAACGCCTGGTATGCCAATGCGCCCGCAACCAATGCCGTATGAGACCACGCCGAGTGCATAGAAGCGTGTCACGCCTTTATATGGCTAATGTAAACAAATTAAAAAAAAAGGTATAGGATAATTTTTGTTTGTTAACATTTCTCGCAAAACTCACCTCCGCCACCATTAGCGGTCCACCCGAATCACCGCCACACGTATCACGTCCGCCACCTAAATCGCCGGCACATACCACCGTATCGTCAAACTGTTGATTGGATACAAGCCTTTTGTTCGCTTCATAGCTACGTCGACAAACAGAATTATCCATAACTTCAATTTGTAGTTCTTGCAGTATATTTGATGAGCGCCCTCCTTCCATGACACGTCCCCAACCGGCTACAAAGGGATGATAGCCTATGTAGGATTTACTGCGCAACTGCTGTGATGTGGGTAAGCAAATGGGGCAAATGAAATCTGTGCGCGGAGTTTGATGACATTAAATTATACTTAATTTTAGAATGTTATGCGTGACTTGCCTGTAAAATCAACATTTTTCTCCAGATATAAGACAGCAATGTCATAGCGGCGATCTCTGCCACCGAAATTTGGATGACGAACTGACTGGTTTAAGAGAAATAAGTATTAATGTTGGTGGATTTAAGTTTATAGTTACTCTTTTTTTATAAAGTAAGTATGCACTTTATCGACGAATAAATACAAGAGATATAGTAAACAAAAAATCTAGCATAAACGAACATCTTTAAGTCCTTAAAATTGTTCATAGCACCAATTACTTTTACAAAACAGATCCTCTGCGGTCTCACAAGGAGTCCTACGTTGAGGTGAGTTTCAACAGCGCTTTAACGAACCTAACTTTCATACATACATACTTACATATATGCTAAATAACTAACCCATGCTAAACGCAACTCACCTTCACTACATCGATGTCCAAATGTTGGGTTTCCCTTTCGGTGCTCAAATCATATTCGCCTAAGCGTACAAATGATCTGCAAAAATTAAAAATTAACAAAAAGAAAAACGTTACTGTATTTGTTCTGTGAGCATCACAATTTCATCTCTCGCAACTACAAATAACTCACAAGTCTCTCAAAATGCAGTGAGCTGCGGTCAGTACGTGTCGTGCTGTTATCAATGCGCCACCACAGCGAAATGGCGATAAGCTATATCGATCATAGCCGATTAGAGCCATCCATGGCCAAGATCCAATGCTGCTATTACCACCGCCTACAACTTTCAATGTTGAAAGATGCGTCAGGCCACAGCCTTCGTCTTCGGATGGCAAATGCCATGCGGCATCATTTGAACGTTGCACCGTTTTTTTCTCCGCCACCGGACAACAAATATTCGTGCCGATGCTAAAGCAGATAGCATTCGACAATTCCAATTGCCTGCGAAATTCCTTATCGGTGGGATTTTGTTGTGCGCGTGTGAATAGTTCGGTGCAAGTTTGAAATGCTAAAAGGGTGCAGAGAGGTGGGTAGAGCGAAAGATAGGTATAAATAATCAATTGTTATTGCATATAAGTAGAGTGAGAGAGCGATAGGGAGTATAAAAATGAGAAAGCTTGTCAGCAGTGTGACCAGATCATAGCTATTGCAGCTGAGTTGTCTTAAAAAATAGGAAAAGTTGGAAGCAGCAAAAAAGCGGTTAACAAGAAATTAGGACTTTTATGCTGAAGGGGTATTTACGAGAGCGCCTCAATAAGTCCCTGACTTTTTAGACGTATTCTTGAGCGAGGATTTCATTTTTGGAGACAAGTCTCTTGTATTTCCAATTAGCAAAAGTTGCCATAGAAAAGAAATGACTGGCGTACTTCATGGGGCTGGGCCAGAAATGCATTAGGCATTTACCGTGTTAATCTTGAAGAAGAAGCAGAAGTAAAGTCTCTTAGTAATATGATATCTTGAGATCGCCAAAATAGGTGTTTCTTACAACGAGAATTTCATAGTTCTTTCCCAGGCGCATTTATTTAGGTCTTAAAACAACAGATAATCACTGGGAGCTAAATTCAAATCCGTATTCCGACGAATGGTGTAGGTAGGTTATCGTCGCTGAAACAGCGTTGTAAGGGTTAAGTTAGAACTCCAGATTAAGCTTTTTAGGCCGCAATATAAAATTTATATCTGAATAAAGTGGTGATGGTATAAAAATCGCTGTACGCCTGTAAAGCTTTATGTGCAGTTTTACTCTGAGGCCGTCATGGCTCCATTGTGATGCCATAGTAGTGGGGCTCTATTTATTTCATTGTCCTAGAATTGAAAACAAATTCGTCGTTCCGATGAATATCACAAAATCGACGATGCTAGCTGTGCTTAGCTCAGGCAGACACTCAAGGAAGTGACGATGGATCGAATGTCGACAGGATCTTCGTAACGTGAGGCAGTGTCATAGGTATCTTTGTACTTCCTCTACATCGCGACAAAAGTCATTCGACTGGCGGATTGATGGAAGTAAACTTCGTTACTTCGTCAAATGCGGTAATTTTTTCTCCAAATAAATAGATATTTCTAATAGTTGGCTGTAGAATGTTTCTTTTCCTCTCCAAACAGTTTGAAACGTGCTACGTGCTTCTTCAAAAACTTTCGGCCTAACCTAGTTACCTTCACCTTGCCTCCTTCGGTGCTAATTTACCCGTGAAGACTATTCTGCTTTCATTAATGATTGTTCTCCGATAAGCTGTGATGAATCAAAGCTTTGCCATGGTCATAAACGTGACAAGAATTCGTTCTGTAAGCGGTTCCTTGGCGCCAAAAAGCCCTTCGAATTTCTAACACGATTGCGTTTGTGACTAATTGTGTCAATAGTTTTATTATACCTACATAGTCATTCGAAATCGAATTCATTGAGCCATTTGATATGCACGCGACTTTTTCACACTCGGACGCTTTCATTTTTCGTTCATTCATTACCATATCGTGGATTTTTTCAAGTGTTTCGTTCGAGTAGCAGTGTGAAGTTCAAAAAGTAGCGAACTTACTAATCCAGTCTGGTATAAAAAAAAATATTATCCGAATTACTCTCTGGCCGAATTTGCCTTTACAAAGTTCTCTGCTTTTAGGTCTTTGTTTTTGCTATCAAAAAGATAAGTATTTTTTACTTATACCATACCCGTAATTTATTTATAAAATATGTATATATATGTATATAAAATTAATACTTAAACAAAAAAAAATACTTGCAGTAGAAAAAGGCCACCACGCTAAACCTTAAATTCCGAGTTTAGTACAATAAAATAATACTAAATCTAGCATCAGAAAGCTTAAGCTGGTCATACTGCGAGCAAGATATAAAAACACAGAGGGCGTTAGAGCAAAACAACTCACGTTTGCAGGTGCCATCGCTGCCATCGTGTGGCACTCGACAAGTTTCCGGTGGCGAGTTTTTGTCATTCGACGCTGAACGTTCATCATCGCTATTCGTTTGAGAGGCAACTGTTGTTGTACTCGTAGTTTTTATTGTCGGCTGGTGTTCATCTGCTGACGTTGGCATCGTTGTGGTGGGAAGAATATGATTATCGTTTTGATTTGTATCTTCGAAGATTGGGCGAGTGCAGCAAAGCTAAAGATCCACATTTATGTAAAGATGAAAGTTTACAAACCGATTGTGTATATTAGCCATTAAAACTTACAATCGGGTAGTTGTCGTGAGTCACACGATTATAGCAAATATTGCGTAGCGCCTTCGAATATCTGGTCGCTTGATCTACAGACAGTTTTTCGTACAATCTCAAGACTTCCTGGCAGTATTTCAATGAGACGCACATCCCCCAATCGCCAAGTGGGGTTTGACAAGCGTTATTTGTTGGCACTAAAAGTCCGTATATACATACATAAGTACTTTCGTATCTAAAACCATAAGCTAAACATCTCAAAGTTCCCCACCTTGATAGGCCATCCAACGATGCGCAGTTGTTTCACATATAACAACAATTAGCACGATTGCATATTTTATGGTCCACATTGTTGTTTTTTTTTTTTTTTGTTGCTGCCTTTCTTCCCTTTAAATTCGTCAGCGATTTATGATAAACAAATGCAATTGATTCACAATTTACTGGACCGTAACCGCGCTGAGTACTATACTTGCGGAAAAGCGGAGCTATACTAAACCTTGATTAGCACAAACTATTCTAGAGTCACACTAATGAAAAATTTTGCACTCAGTGTGCCTGATTGACTTTGTATTAGCAAATGCAGCGGAAAATTATTATTTGTAGATTTGTTAAAAAAAAAAAACCCATACGTTTGGACTTCACCAAATTGCATTTCTCTCAGCGCATCTTCGTGAATTCAAAAACAAAAAAAAATACATTAACAACAACATCAGTAGTAATATTTAATTCGAGTATGTAATTGCAATTGACTTAGTACGAGTGAATTCTGATTAAATAAATTTTATGGGTTCGCTACACTAAGCATGTAAATATTCAGTTATTGTTTAATGAAGTTTTATATACATACATACATACATTCATACATACGTATAGGAGTGACGTTGAAATGGCCCACTGATGCCCAACCTTCTGGCGTGCGTGCCGACCGGTCAATGCCCAATAAGAATCACTACTAGCCGCGCAACGTCAGGTCTGGATTTTGTGTAATAAGTTGTGTGTTCTCTCAGGGTTGTGGCTGAGCCAAATTAGTTTGCATATACGACATCCGCCGCCGCCATGCGCCACCTTTGTTCCGATTTCTGAATATGGTTCCAATTAGACGGTGAGTTCCAATACTCGATCGAGACCAATGTGGAACCCTCTCTGGCTTACTTTTCTGCAGCCTCGTTTCCGAGAGTTTTGCAATGACCATTGATCCAAACTAAATCTAGAACGAGCTAACAATTTATGGAGTTTAAAAGAGTCCTACACTCCCTGATCAGTTTCGACTATGTTTTAAAAGACGCCAGGGTTTTAATGGCCTCCTGACTATTCGAAAAAGTGGCGACACGCTCGCTGTGACGTAAACCTTTAGCTATAGCGAATACTTGTGCCTGGAAAGCACTTGAAAATCGGGCAGATGGATTTGTCTCCACCGACTCTGTGTTCCATTTTGGAGTCATCGCTATACAGATGATGCATCTTGAAAGGTCTATGAAATTGTACTTCAGGTAATCGATAAACAATCTCATCCTGGGCGGCAGTCGATAAATTTTACTGCAATGAGCGATCCCTTTTAAAATTAGAAATAAAAGTGAAATCTATGTAAAATAAACTGGCAAGCTATTTTTAATTGATTTCAGCTTAAATACGACACATTTCATTCTCTAGTACTATAATGTTGACTGTAGCTCATCGACTGATTTGATCACATATGTGCATACATACATACATATGTATGTATAACTTTATGCATTCACACACAAGTAATAACTAAATATAAGATACATTGCTTATAAATTGTGTTTTGTTTTGATTATTGCCGCTAATGTTGTTGCTGTTGTTGCAAACGATGGCAGCGCAAGCACATCAGTAGTTCTCCTAGAAAGCTAGGTAATCTCAAGCAATCTCAAATTAATATATGAACATGTATGAATGTTGACAAACATACTTACATACGTATCGTCTTAATCAGTGTTAACGCTGACAATTTTTCGAAGTCGCAAAAAGAGTGTCACTGCCGAAAAAAGTGTCTTCAAGTCCTTCAAATCGTTTATACCAGGGACGGGCAGATTTTTTCCCCTAGTCAAAAGTCAAAGAGTTTAAAGTATTTTTTATAAATTGCAATACACTGGGACTTGCTGGGATTTAAAACAAAACCATTGTGACTAGCCCACTCGGTGATAAGACTTAAATCGTGGACAGCTAAGATACACTTGGACGTGGTCAGCATACACGTGAATGTTACAATGCTTAATAAGTTTAGGTAGATCATTGACATATAGAACAAATAACGAGAGGGCCAAGGACTGAACCCTGGAGCACTCCTTTAATTACGGACACAAAGAAGGACGAAGAATTGCCCATGCATACAGCTTGAGATCTGTCAGAAAGATACGAGTTAACTAGTTTCAGCGTTGAAGACGAGAAATTGAACAAATGTTTGAGTTTTAGACACCTTAAGCGATGGTTGTTATAGTGTAATCAAATGCTTTCGAGTGGTCTAGAAGAGCATGGAACGTTATGTTATTTTCGTCCAGTTATTGTCTGATATCATCGGTCACATTCAGTAGTGTTGTGGTACAACTTCGCTTCGACCTGAAGTCTGACTGAGTACCAGAGTAATAAGAGAATATGCTCAGAAATGCATTAATTTTTTTTTAAAGTTCTCAAGGACCTTCGAAAGAAACGGTAGCATCGCTATCGGTCTACGTTCGCCATTTGACTTCTGTACGGGTATTATTTTGACTTTGTTCCAGTAGCTAGGGAATTCCGACGAGGTGAGGATTGTGTTCAGTGCGTGCGTTATATACGGCAAGATTTTTGGCAGAATGCACTTCAAGAATGCCTATTTCACGGACCTGTTGCCAGGTTTGGCTTGGAACCCACTGCAACACTAAACTTGTGTGCGTAATATTTCATTTTTTGGATCCGGATAGCCTTGTTGACGTCTTTCTTCAAGACTCGATACTCAGAAAACAAGTCATCTGTTCTAAACCGTTTTCACATATTATATTTACATAAAAGTTACTTTATCTTTTATGAATAAGGCTATTAGAATCTAAGATGAACCCATATCTTAATATAAAGACAAAATGTGATAAAACTTCTACTTAAAAACAGATTTTTATTACATACAGTAAATTTCAAAATATTTTTTTACATTAAACGCATTAATACCAATTTTACTCATCTTAAACTCATCGTTAAGTCATGTGACTGCGAATCCACGGTAAATAGGAAGCCACACGTGTGTAAACTCCAGGAAATCCAGCTCGAGCGCATTCATAACCGTAAGAAACCAAGCCAAGTATGTAATAATGATAAGCGCCATTCTCCAGCTAAGTTGTGGGAAATGAGAGCAAATCACAAACAGCAAGTACTTATCATATGTATGTATGTATGTATGGACATTTATTTAAAAGTAAAAAAACGAATACGACAATGACCAAATAAATAAATACTTTCGAATAAAACACTAATGAAGTTTGGTAATGGCAATGAACTTTCAAGCTAGTGAATCAGTAAAATGTAGGTGCGTATACATATGAACACATACAGGCATATTGGTGTCTAACAAGCAACACGATTTAAAAATAAAAAATAAAGATAAACTTGAAATTAAATGTTTATAATTACCATCGGCATCATCAGTGGCCCACCGGAATCCCCCTGACAAGCATCCACATAAGAATTGCCAGCGCAGATGAACTGAATTAGGGGAAAAACATATTAAACGATTTTCAAAAAAAAAAAATCGATTCATGGTAATTTAGTTTAAATTTAAGAAAGATGGGTGCATGCAAAATAAATGCAATCGACGGCTGAGTGAAAGTTCGAAGGCGGTTCGAAAAAGCCTTATCTCAGAATTTGGTAAAAGACGGAATTTTATGGCCTTATTCGTAAAAAATAAAACGGATCTATAAAATGATATTTTCATACAAATTTTCGATTTATAAAGCAGTTATAGTCTTTTTTATTTTTTCTTGAATTTGGGTGTTAATTTTTAAAGTTTTTATAAGCAATTACATTTTTAAGCAATCTTTTATTCAAAGTTCATTTTCCCTCAAAGAATTGGACGAAAGTTGATGAAATTTTGTTTGTAAGCGAAGTGACATTTATAATTTAGAAATTTATTTTTTTTTATTAAAACATTTTAAATATTCGACTTGCATTAAAAATATGTTTTCAATGAGTGTTTTCCATTTCGTTTACATTTTCGAAACCTGCATTTATTGAAGAAGATATTTCTAAAAAAAAAAAACATTTTGTTGGATCATTTCTGGTACACCTAAGTAA